AGTTGCTGTTGGACGACCAAGAGAAAACAGCTTTTTACGCTGGTGATGCAATCTACTGCTATGTTATGATGCCGTTTGGTCTCAAAAATGCTGGAGCAACATACCAGAAGCTGGTGCAAATCATCTTTAAGCTCCAGATCGGCAGAAACATAGAAGTATATGTGGATGAAATGATAGTCACCAGCGTGCGAGCTGAGGATCACATTGATGACCTGGACGAAACATTTCAAAACTTGCGTCGAGCTTAAATGAAACTGAATCCCTTGAAATGCACGTTTGCTGTGGAATCAGGGAAATTCCTAGGGTACGTGGTATCCAAGAAAGGAATTGAAGTAAACCCAGAGAAGGTTGAGGCCGTTCAGCAGATGGAACCGCCAAAGACCGTCAAAGACGTGCAGCGCTTGACAGGCCGTGTTGCTGCGCTGCACAGGTTTATAGCCAGGTCGGCAGAAAGATGCCTCCCGTTTTTCAAGGCCCTGCGAGAGCCCAAGAATTTTCAATGGACTGACACGTGTCAGCAGGCCTTTGACGAGCTCAAACAATACTTGGCGTCAGCGCCCCTGCTATCAAAGCCTGTGGAAGGGGAAAGCTTGTATCTGTATTTAGGGGTTACAGCAGAGGCGATTAGCTCGGTCCTACTCAGGGAAGAGAATAAGAACCAGAAGCCTATCTGTTATGTAAGCAAAGTCTTACAGGGCGCCGAGCAGAACTACCCACTAGCGGAAAAGGCCGCTTTTGCCCTGGTTTACACAGCTCGTAAATTGAGAGCGTACTTCCAATCACACCAGATTGTTGTTTATATGGATTTCCCGCTAAGGAAAATACTGCAGAAGCCAGAGCTCTCTGGTCGGCTCATCGGATGGAGTGTCGAACTGAGCGAGTATGACCTTAAATTTCAGCCGCGCACAACTATAAAAGGCCAAGCTGTGGCAGACTTCCTAGTTGAATGTGCCCCGGCGGCTGTCAAAGATGAGGTATCTGAATACCCATTTTGGGTTTTGTATGTAGATGGAGCTGCTAATGTCGAAGGATCAGGTGCTGGAGCTGTGTTACTAGGCCCTGATGGCTTCAAGTCTGAGCATGCATTAAGGTTTAAGTTTCAGACGACCAATAATGCTGCAGAATATGAAGCCCTCATATATGGATTGAAACTGGCGACCGAGCTGAAGGTACAACGCATTCAGGTCTTCAGTGACTCTCAGCTCGTCGTCCGCCAGGTGAATGGCAGTTGCGACATCAGGGATCCCCAGCTCGGTCGTTATGCCTCTGTGGTCAACAGATTGAAGTCAAGGTTCGCTTCATTTCAGATCGACAAAATACCGCGGGCAGATAACCACCGAGCTGACGAGCTGTCAAAATTGGCCTCTTCGCAGGATGTTAACCCTCAAAGATCAACAATCGTCGAGGTGCTTGACGCACCAAGCTACACTGATTTCACAGTCGACTGTCAATTACTCAGTATAGATCCCTCTACACCGAGCTGGACTACACCACTTATGAATTATCTGCAAAGTGGCGAGTTGCCTGAAGATCTGTCCGCGGCAAAATTGATTAAACGAAGGGCAGCACATTTCACTTTGGTAGATAACCACCTCTACAAATGTGCAGTCTCAATGCCCCTCTTACACTGCCTTACTCCTTATGAAGCTGAATATGCCGTGAGAGAAGTTCACGAGGGGGTTTGTGGCACGCACATCGGTGGCAGAACCTTAGCCCGGAAGCTCCTAAGGCATGGTTATTACTGGCCCACTATGGTCGAGGACGCACAGAATTATGTCAAAAAGTGCCCGACCTGCCAGTTCAATGCTAATGCTATTCACATGCCAGGTACACGAGCTCGTCCAATAGTTTACATTAACTTAGTAACTGTCTCTAAACTGAGGATGAGTGCCTTCCTTTAAACAGGGGAAATGCTATCATCTCTTGCATCTCCCTGGCCCTTCGCTCAATGGGGTGTCGACCTGCTCGGCCCCTTCATCAAAGGTAAAGGAGGCTGCACTTTCCTGGTCGTTGTAGTGGATTACTTTACTAAATGGATAGAAGCTAAACCATTGTCCACGACAACAGAAAGGAAAATTGAAGAGTTCTTGTTCAATTCAATATTGTGCAGGTATTCTTTGATGACCGAGGTCATAAAATGAATGCAAACGTGATTTGTAGCTCAGCTCGCTAATCTGTGTGCAGGTTCGGCATACCTAAGCGAATTATCGCCAACAACGGGCCACAGTTCCGAGCAGCGGCGTTGAGATCATTTTGTAATGATTATGGCATTGAGCTCGCCTTGACGTCTGTGTATACTCCACAGTCCAATGGGCAAGCCGAGTCCGCCAATAAAATCGTCTTGCGAGGCCTAAAGGCCCGAGTGTTGGCTACACATGCTAATTGGGTGGACGAGCTCAATAAAGTGCTCTGGTCTTGTCGCACCACACCTAGCTCGGCCACAGGCGAAACCCCTTTCAGCCTGGCCTATGGAGCTGAAGCCGTCATCCCAGTGGAGGTTGGATTGCCGTCCGGTAGATCAGATCGCCATGACGATCAGAGTAATGAACAACTCTTAAGAGAGAACCTGGACTTTGTGGAAGAAATCAGGGAGATGTCACGAATAAGAAACATGGCATATCAAAATCGTGTTGCAAAATTTTACAATAAAAGGGTTCGAGCTCGCCAGTTTCAAGTTGGCGACCTGGTGCTACGCAAAGCTAGATTGACAAACACTTACTCGCACATGGGCAAGCTCGCTCCTAATTGGGAAGGCCCCTATGTGGTTGTTCAAATTAAGCGACCTGGGTCTTACGTGTTAGCAAATACACAAGGACGTCAGTTGCCTTACATTTGGAACATACACAACCTTAGAAAGTTTTACAGTTAATAAGTGTCCTGTCGTTTTATTCATAAGTGTCCTGCCGTTTTATTCATATTCTTATCCAGCAATTGTAAATAACAATGTACAGAAACTGTAAATGAGAACACAACAATTTCAACAGGAAACTCATATTCGCATTTCATCAAAGTTTTTACATTTAGCATACATCGAGGGTAGATCCTTTGATCGAATACCAAAAATAATGAAGAACAAAAACAAATACAAAAGAAACAACAAAATCAAAGCCTAATCGTCCGTCAGGTCGACAGGCATGGATGCATCAGCCGTTGGGGGAGAGGAGCGAGCTGGTGGAGACGAACGAGCAGCAGGCTCGGCAGCTGGTACTTCGGCGGGCAGCGCCATGGCGGGCTGAGAGTCGGGTGGGGTGCTTGAAGGCTCTTGCTCAGCCACAGGAGCACCCTCTACCCATGCATCGAATGAGGGCAGTCCTACTGGGTCCTCCCCATCCTCCAGAATGGACGGTGGCCAGACGGGCACGCCCTCCTCGTTCAAATCCCATCTCAACCTCACAGTTGCATCAGCGAGGGGAGCAAGGCTCTTACCCTGCTCGTCCAGCTCCTCCTCGTCAAAGAAGACCAGCTCGCGTATTGGAAAATCCGGGCGGTGCTGCAGTACTTTCCCACGGATCTCATTGTAGATCTCCGTGGTTACATTTGCAGACGCCACCGCCACGGCGTCCTGAAACGCAGCCGAGCCGACGAACCATTCTGCCCCTTGAGCCCGGGCGATGGCGACAGAGCGGGCATGGGAAGCCTTCAGCTCGTTCAGCGCTTCCCCGGCTGTAGTAAGGTTTCGGTCCGCCTCGGCGACCTGGTGCCTAAGGGAGCTCAGCTCGTGCTGAGCATGATCCCTATCGGCCTCAGCCTTCTTTGCCCGCTCTTCAACCCGGCCGGCCTCATCCTTGGCTGCTTGAATTCCACTCTCTCGCTCGGCCCGGGCGCGCTCTAGCTCCTCGTTGAGCTCATTGATCTTATTGGCGAGCTCGTCCACCAGGCTCTCAACAGCCGCGGCTCGGTTCGCCATTTCAGAGCCCTGCAGATGATTCACATCGTCCACAAGGCTGGCCTTCTCAGCAGCCAGTTGCTTGCACTTGGAACCGAGCTCGCTGTTTTGCGTACGAGCCGCCTGATTGCTCTCGTAGAGCGCCACAGCGTAGTTGAATGCCTGTCAAACAGCAGCAATAGTAAGTACCCAATAAAGCAAGAAAAAACATTTAAGGATGTACGAGCGAATGCTTACATCCATCAGCTTGATCATGGCGACCTGGGCGCCATGCTGCTGCACGAACGCTTGTGCCCGCCGATTATCTGTCGGGGGCACAAAACTGTGCATGGCCTGCACCATGGCGGGCTGGCACTCCGCCCGCGTGTAGCTGAAACCCTCAGGATAAGCAATCCTGGGGCCCGAGGATGAAGCTGATGC